TCCTGACCTCTGCACACTTTCTTTCCTACGAAACTGCGTTTCTCCATGAAGAGGACAACATATGACCTGTCAAGTGGGTTGTCTGTGCTCTTGGAGATGTTGTCCTTCCAATAAACAGCTTTGCACGGGCACAACTAGGCACAAACAAGTTGTTCGACCAAAGACCTATCAAGTCCGTTCTACACAGGTGGTGGTTGTCCTTGACCCCACCACCAACCGTCACCAACCGTCACCGTCACAGGACAAGCTGCATTCTGCAGGCGGATGGCAAATTCCACGTCACTGTGACCGGCCTCAGGGATGGCTCAAGAGTCAGGCGCTGAGAGCCACGCTGACAGAACTGGGCTTGGAAAAATGGCGCCAGCAGGTTCAATCTTCGACATTACACTTTCTGGCCCGTCAATCTAGCGACCTGCCACGGATCACTGCATTGGCTCCAGAGATTCCAAACACGCTCAAAAGACATCACTCAAATGCGTCACCCTGGCCCATGTCTTCTAAAAACCCATGCCTGGATCATGGCATGCTCCAACTCCGACGGGCTCAGCGAAAAGTAGTTCTGCTCGGCTGCGAAGTTGTACACATACCTGCGAGAAACACAGGCCTGTGGGTGTCCTGTTTTGGCTGCATCTCGCTGGTGGACTTTTTGCACTGGACTTGGGAGTCCTTTCCTTGACGCAAGCCGCAAAGGCGTCCAATGTGCAGTTAGAACAAGCATGATGTTCGCTGCTCCGATGCTGCCCCATCCAAATGTTGCAACTCAGGCCGTCAAAAGCAAATGCCATCAGTCCTGTTTCTGAAGCTTTTCTGCTTCCAACCTCAGGCCGCGACCTCGCGGCAAGGACATCTGCTCGGCTGGGCATGTACTGCGCAGCCTGTCGGACGTCCGGGGCAGATCATGGGATGTCATGGGACATTCCTCTGGTCTTCTGAAGTAACAGTGGAGTTGATACAAAATCCAAGTCTGATCGGGTCCAAACAGCAGTAGTGAAAAAATCGAGCTCCCAGGGGCAAGGCAGGAAAGAAAATATGCTGCCTCTTCCATTGTCATGGGCTTGAAGGGGTGGAATGCTTGCTACCAAAAGAAACTCAAAGCAGGCGGAAGTGGGCGTAAATGGGAGATTCTTCATCGACCCCCCAAGGAAGAAAGTACACAATCCCATGAAAGTCCATTGAAGCTGTTGACATTCCACTCACCTCACATCATGAACTGTATTCCTCATGTCGCCACATACTCCGCACCTCAGCCTCGCGTTCATCCGGGGCTGAAGCTCCACCGGGGCTCAGGTGGAACATCTGCTCCTCATCCACCTGGCGGAAGGCGCGAAGCCCGTCTGACCAGAAATCGTTCGGAATGCTTTGGATTCTTCAGGTGGGGTTAGGACCGGTTAGTAAGTATGCCCCGGCATCTAGTCGTATCCTTGACATGAAAGCTGACTCCTCAACATGTCTGACATCGGCTTTCCAATGGTGGGGAACCCTAAACCCATCTTCCCTTTCCATCTCCACCACCCAGGAACCCTTCACCCATCTCCATCCATCACTTCTCGACCCGTTCAGCTCACCTCAAAGTTCTCAGGATTGTCGTCTGCACTCGTTTCCCGGGGACAAAAGCGCTCGATGGCCAAAGCATAGGGGATGGCCAGTGGATCCTGGGGCAGAAGCGCTTACAGTTTGTTGTAGCCTTAGGCCCGTTCTCGAATGTATCTTATCAATACATGGCGCATCTTTCCTCTAACTCTTCGCACGAAATCTGCTACAGCTACAGCTGAATCATGCAGGAAGGCTCACAGGCCCGTACACCAAATCCTTGACCCTGCCTGGACCAAGCGAAAACACCAGTCTAACAGCACTGGAAAGGGCAAGCGCTGTTCTTGCTGGCCGGTGGCTGCAGGATGCTCGCTCGACCTTGGCGCCAACATAGTTGAGTCAAGAGGATGCCAACACAGCAAGGTGCTTAGATACAAAGAGAGATAAAACATGTATAACAAAAAACAAATATATATATATATACACAAAATAAGCTGACTCAGCCTAATAGCAATGGCCTCCAACCTACTTGCGATGGCCTCCACCCAACTGTTCGGTGTCTCTAAACCATCAATTGCCTTGGATGTCCCCTGGTGCCAGGTGAACAAGCTTATTCTGCGTTTGCTCACTCGACCACTCGGCTGCTTCGGTAAAGGGACACGCCAAGCCCATCCCCTTCCTGTACCTATATTTGTCGGTTATACAACATCCAACCCATCAAAAGTCATCTAAGTGTGTCAGTTCAATCAATTTTGGAAATGTGAAAGCTGCAAACCTTCGAGATTGATGGAGGCTCTTGCTTCCAAGAGCTTCCAAGCACTTGCGCCACCGAGATCCTGGCGCTTGACGAGCCTTGATTGCAGCCACCACGGCTGCCCTGACGACATCGGCACAAAGAAACAGGTGTGCCCCAGGTATGATCATTTCGTTGCACACAACAAATGAAACACTCAATGCGTCCTTTAATTCAGGAAAAGGGCATTATGCTGTTGTGATTGTGGTGGTTTGAAAAGTTGCTACCGTACGACCCCAGGGTGTTGCAGAATTGTCTACAACAGGTGGTGCAGGGTGGGCTTCAAGTTGTGATAAGGGACTATGGCTAGCCATGGCGAGCCTCTGGAAATAGTTGAGAAAGCTGTGCTCAGTGGCAATAAAATGCTGTCGCTGTGGCTCCAAACCTTACCAACACAATATCCGGATTCTACCAGTACCTGGTTCTCAGGACATGTAGGTCCGAGTCACAGCCGAGGTCCTCTGGGAACATTCTGATGAGCCGGCCTGTCCACATCGTTCTGCAAGCTGCTGTGCCTCGCAGTTTGCTGGAAACTCAGAACTTGGCTTGACTGAACCCTACACAAGTACCCCCTCATCATCCCTGATCACAACACTCTATTCATATCTTCAAGATTCTCAAACACAGTGTCTTTGCAAGAGGTCACATGATAAGAAACGGGAGATTACCCAGTGGTCATGTGCTTCGAAGTGCCGCCGCCAAACACATCTGTGGTGGTTTCGAGGCGGAGGCTTAACTTTGCCGGACGTCCAAACAAAGCCTTTCAAAGCTGGGCCCAGCTTCGGTCATGTGGCTAAGGCCTTTCGCATGCTGAATGTCATATAAATAAAGTAATATAGCCCAATTCCATCCGGCTCATTCAGCAAAGGAAACACCCTTGGCAGCGTCACGGCGGTGAATGACAAGCTTTCAAGGCACAGCTTCACAATGGTGCGGGCCACCTTCCGGCTGATCCTTCGGATGTCGCAATGTTTTAGAGTCAACTACCGGATTCTGATGAGACTCCTATGGCTCCTAATTATAAGCATCTTTTTGACATACCACTGAGGACTGAGCTGTCCTCCTTTGATTTGTTCAGGTTGAAGAAGCTTGACTCCAATGTTGTCCACGTTGATTTGCTGGGTTGTTGAGGAACATCGATGGAAAATCGGTGGTTGATGCAATATTGAAATCGATTTCATATCTGCGGTCCTAAAATGTCCTTGAACCCATATACAGTGTTTGAGCTACAAAAGAGATCCCTCCTGGTGTAGAGGCGTTGGGCGATCAGGTGGATGGCCTCCGGCTTTGGCACCTGCACGTACCTCTGGCTGAGGAGCAGATCTTGCAACGGCTCAGTTGTTGTGTAGTGCTGTCTGTGTAAAGCCCTATACGCTCTATCCTTGCCGCACAAGTGTCAGAGCATGTCAGAGGCTTGCTTCTGCTATCGACATAGAAGCATGTGACAGCATGTGCAACAACTCTTTCAATCACCCCCCATGCTCTAAAACTGTTGAAACTTGGTCTCTACCCATCTGGAATGGCTCTGCCAGGCCTGGTTCGATGCTCCTCGTCACAGTTCGACCACGCAGAGGAATGCCTCCTTTGCAGCAAAAGGCTACTCCAACTGCCGCGAGTGGGCACGGCTTTCTGCTCTTCCTGCATCAGAGTGCGATGCAATGTTCATAAAACCCTCAGAGGAAAGAATACTTCAACGTGGACTCGATGAAAGTCGGCACCTTCTTTTCCGTGTAATTCTGGTTGGATTCAGTCTCCGGTTCTTTTGCAACAATCATCATTATGCAAGGGAAAAACCCTGCGCCTTGCCCGCGCTGGGCATGCAGAGTCCGAAGGCACAACTTAGCCCGTGGATGAAGTTTTGCACAAAGGTGCCGAACTCCTGGACTGGGGTCGGCGGAATAGCGAATTGCAACTGGGGTATGGCAAAGAACAAAGATTGTGCCCAACAGGTCAGCTTGCGAGAGCTTGCTACATGCCATTGCTGATAAGTTGTTCTGCGTCAACTGCAATTCACTAGGGCAGTCTTGGAAGAGCAAGTCTTTCAATGTGTGTGTGTGCTTTTTGTTACTAATGGCTTCTTGTTACTGGCTCCTAGTGGTGATGCCAGGAGCCCCTAGTAGCTTCTTTGGCCCATCAACTCACCCGTCCTTCTGACTGAGGCTATTCCTTCCCTGCGTATCAACCATGCCAAACACCTGAGCGCAGCATCCGAATGGCACCGGTGCACACCTTTTGGGCCGTCTAAGCCGGTCAAGTAGGCGGGTCCAAAGGTAGGCGGCTGTCTCGATCTGTGGATGTATGAAGTATTTGGAGGAGGATTCTACGGTACAGTCTAAATTTCTCAAAAAGAATACAGTACTGCATACCTGTCCGCTTTTTGAAGCCTCTTCCACTTTCCACAGTCCGAGAGACAAAGCGGAGCTTGTTGGTGCTGGAGATGATCTCAGACATCAGCACACCGGCAGTGAAGATCTCGGCCAAGGAGACCGAAGTCTTCTCAAAAGATACTCCTGACCTCATCTGGTCAGAAAAAGGTTGCAGTTTGGATGTGAGACCAAATCAAACCAGATTTCGGTGATGCATGGTGATACTGTGTCCCTCAATCTCTTGGTGACTTTGCATACTGGCATCATGAGCGATGAGTAGGGCGCAGCATACACTTGCAATCATCGGTGCTCCTTCATGGAGGTGCTTCCCGCTTCCCACGAACGCCAAAAACGAGGAAGACATGTTGCTCCCAGCCCAGTTCCAAAGGACTGCTACGAGCAGAATCAAAATCAGAACTGTTCATCACATCTCAGTCGCAAAGATCTCAGGCCACCGAAGAGTTTTCCTAACCTCGGACAGCGGGGAATCCGCACGCGAGGAACGCGACGACCGCGACCCGGTCTTGCGACCGCAGCGAGCTGCGGTGAGCTTTCAATCCACGCAGGCTGCGATAGGGCAGACTCTTCCACAGGTACGTAGATCAAACATCATCAGGCTTGTGCCAAAGCCCCTCGCGTGACATCACTTACTTGAAGCTGGAAGGATGGGGGACGAAGCAAGGATGTCTCACTCACTTCACCACTGAGCTCCAGGCTCCAAGCACCGTGGTCGGGCGAAGCCCTGAAAGACCTTCTCCAACCTGCGCAAAGATGGGTTGTCACCTGTCTCGAACAGGGTCTTTGGGGTGGAGGTGAGGCATGGGAGAGTTCTGAGTGACTTTGTTGGCTGAGTCGCGTGGGCAGGTTAATCCCCTTCAGTTCAACCTCTACACCAGCTGCTGTGCCACAGTCACTCCAAAGAGCCAAGGAACTGCCCCACTGTGCAGCGGTCAGACATCTCCTGTCAACTCGGGTGGGGAGCACTTCATGAGTGAGAAAGGTGGAACAATAGCAATGGCCTCCACCCTACTAGCGATGGCCTCCAAATCTCGCCAGTGTTGAGCTTTATTGTACACATACACTGATTCTGAGCCTGCACACACAAACACACATGGTAGAGTTGGTCTGCTGCACTTCTAATCTATGCACTGTCTTGTATGAAGCTTCTCTTGGAGCCCGTGATGTCGCTGACGCCTGCTTGACATGACAAGTTCTGCATGATTGAGGAACTGTTTGCTGGATGCGTCAGTTCCAAGTAAAGGGAGTGAAGCAAGGATCAGGGTTGTGGGACACAGTCATCCAATTGGTCTACTGGGTTGGAGGCCTTCGCTAGTAGATTGGAGGCCATTGCCAGTAGGTTGGGGGCAAGGAGTCCTCCTTTTGGAAAACCAGTAGCGTGTCCAGGGGTTTCAGCACAGCAAAACCACCCCTAAACCTGCAGCTCCTGCTGCTTTCTCAAGAGCTGCCATCGCTGAAAGGACCTCAGGCGCAAAGCGTTGAAAGTCTTCCAATCCTTCAAGTGCACGAGGTCACATCGTGCGTATGAGTTGATCTTAGTCATGGGAAATACATTGAGTCAATATGTACATGTCCACAATCACAACTGTTGATCAGTTTAGGACGTTTGGGAATGTCCAGCGCATGAAAATGCATCACAATGGAGCAATCATGACTTGTGTAACTGTGTGCCACCCGACTCTTCCGTAGCAAAAGAAGCCTTGCGAACAGAGATTTCAATTAAAGCAAATCACACACACTATGAACTGCTCGCGACTCATGGTCGTCTCTGGATTGTCTTTCCCATGGAGCTCCATCGGATGACCAAGCTTCCCGGCTTGGCCCAAAAGCCCAGCGTCCGGTTCTGCATGCAGCGGAACTCTGGCGCCGCGGCGCCCAGAAGCACGGCCTGTGAACAACGGCGGAACACGGTCCCGAAGTGACCGGTCTGGGCTCTGCACCGGTCCTTGAGTTCAACATGTGGTGGTGCGCTTTGGCAACTCAGAGCGAGGTAACACACACGTCCAAAAGGCGATGACCCTTGGAAACGAACCAGCGCTCCTGCCAAAAATCCAACTGGAAGTTCCAATTGGGATCTTCCTGAGCACCAGCAAACTCAAAGCAGAAAAGGGTTTGAAACAGGCACCGCATGTTTGAGGATATACATCTTGCGATGGCAAGATATTGAGAAAATTGAAAAACTTTGGCAGCATGGAAGCGGCGCGGCAACAAAACAAGCTTTGCCCAAACATAGACGTGGCTGGCTCAGCATATCACAGGTCCACCCTCTGTATGTTATCTTCCTTCTAGAAGGTGGTGTGCTTGTTGAATGGGGCAGGGTTTCCTTGTCAATTTGTCACTGAATTTTCGCGCCAAGCATCTGCGATAATGGCGGCATGAATATCCTGCGTCAGCGAATCTCAATCCGCACTCTCCATAAACTACCCTTGACTGCCCTAATGTTGCATGGAAGCTTGGCGCAAGAATGCATCCAATATCACGCAGTGGTTGGCTGAGTTGGCTGCTGGCGATCTTGCTACTCCAAAATGGCCCTTGAATAGTTTGCATAGAACCTTGGCTTTGTTTGCTTGCGTCTCACCAGCCGTTCCTCCGGTCATCCCCCCCAACCTCCAGGGTGAGGTCCACAAAGGACAGGCTTTGATGAGGATTCACCGCCTCCTGAGTGGGATCTTGTTGCTCCTCCGATTCTTGACACACAGACTATCCCCAGGCAGCTTAGATCACACGACGTGATTAGACTCTATTGGATCATTTGGGCAAGGAAAATCACAAGACCAAAACTCTAAATCCATTGGATAAAAGGGTAAAAGTAAAATGGACCCGCAACTCTTGGTCTCTTAGTCATAGTCTAAAATCTTCTTGAGCCACATCCATAAAGTCCACGCCGGCCTTCGGGCTCTCGACCTGAGAGCGCTCCACGCGCTCAGAGGGCCTGGCAGGAAGGTGCCAAACTCACTTGATGTCCAGAGACATGGCTGGAGAAAATTATCCTGGTGAATATAAAAGCTATTAGAAACAATAAGCTACTAGGAGCAAGTGCATCGCTTCTACTAACAAGTGCCTTACTAGTTACTGGTAGTAACAAAACCCTAGAATAGTTGCAGGATCGGTCCAGGGAAATAGCCAAGCCATCCGAATCAACAGCACACGATGAAAGAGGATTCAGCAAGTCAAAACTCGATTACGGGGAATGAAGCGAGGGTCTCTGCAACAAAAAATACAGCTGTTTATGGCTTATGCAAAATGAATTAAGAATAAACACACACTCTGACATTGGTTTTCAGTTACACTCAGTTCCCACGTTGGGAAGGAAGGTGATGGAACGGCATGGCGAAAAGTCGGCAAGAACTGTATGGTTGAACAATGTTTGCACTCTGACAGTCAGTGTGGTTGCAAGTCTGCTGCAAGCCTGCGGTGGGAGAAGGTTTTGGGGTCTATCATGCAAGGACCATGGAATCAAACAAAGAAAGATTGGAGTCACAGCTTGGTCGGAACTGGCGCAGGTACGTCCGGAAGGCGTCCCTTCTGGATTTCACCGCGGTGCAAGGAGTGTCTTCGTTGAGTGGTGACTCCAAGACCGCGCACCACTCCCCTGCCTGTAGAACTGGGGTGGAAAATTGGCGGTAAGAAACCCTTTGTCCAGGGGTGGACACACACAGGTCGCCGTCTTCGGCGCTGTTTTTCAAAAACCGGTGGCAGGCGTGGTGGTTGTGTCCTTTTTGGACATAGGGCCTCACTAGCTCGGCGACAGCAGCTTGTAAGTAGGCTGCGAAGGTGAGCTTGATGTAAAATGTAGAAATGTTGTAGGGTGTGGTCATGCATCTCGAATTAGATTTGAGAACTCCGGTATGCGGGCTTGAGTTCTTCTGGCGGAAAAGTCATGGCACACGTCAAAAAGCCACTACATGCAAAATCATGCAAAACCCTTGCAAGACTCGACAAAAATTCAGTGGAGGAAAAGCTGCCGTGTTTGGGCCCGGCGGCCAATGCATCAGTTGATTCGAAGGATGTGTCAATGACTTCCAGTGGAAATCCAGTGGCAGGTGGTAAGTTGGGGTGGATGATTTCCTATGCAAAAACAGCGCCCCTGTGACGGGGATCACACTCAGCACCCGAGTGGGACGGCTGAGCGAAACACACTCTGACATTGGCTTTCAGTTACACTCAGTTCCCACGTTGGGAAGGAAGGTGATGGAACGGCATGGCGGAAAAGTCGGCAAGAACTGTATGGTTGAACAATGTTTGCACTCTGACAGAACTGTATGGTTGAACAATGTTTGCACTCTGACAGTCAGTGTGGTTGCAAGTCTGCTGCAAGCCTGCGGTGGGAGAAGGTTTTGGGGTCTATCACGCAAGGACCATGGAATCAAACAAAGAAAGATTGGAGTCACAGCTTGGTCGGAACTGGCGCAGGTACGTCCGGAAGGCGTCCCTTCTGGATTTCACCGCGGTGCAAGGAGTGTCTTCGTTGAGTGGTGACTCCAAGACCGCGCACCACTCCCCTGCCTGTAGAACTGGGGTGGAAAATTGGCGGTAAGAAACCCTTTGTCCAGGGGTGGACACACACTCATGGATATGCGTACTGATGTGA